GTGTCATCCCGGTTGTCCGTGTGTGTGTGTGTCCCTGTGTTTGTGTGTCCGTGTCGCTGTGTGTGTGTCCGTGTGTTTGTGTGTGTCCGTGTGTCGTGTGTGTCCGTGTGTTTGTGTGTCCGTGTCGGTGCATGTGTCGTGTGTGTCCGTGTCGGTGTGTGTGTGTCCGTGTGTCGCGGCACAGATGGCCTCACGAGGGGGCGGCCCCAGTCGGCCTACCTGCCGGACATGGGGGGCGGCCGTGCGGCCATCAACGCCGCCTCCATGCGGGGGCGGCTGCCGTCCACCAGCTCCGCTCTCGCTAAGAGCATCTCCACCAATCAGCTGCACGGGTACCGTGTCACCCACCCCTCACCCACTCGCTTCACGGGCGGTGTTTGCGCACGTGTGTGCGCGTGCGTGTGGGTGTCGGGAGCGGTAGTGTAGCGGTTGTTAGCACGCTGCGCTACAAACCTGACGACCTGAGTACGATTCCCGCTCACGGCCAACACCAGCGAGGATTATCTGAACCGGTCCTGGGCCTCCCTCAAATGAGTAGCCGGTGCGGTGTGTAGTAAACATCGCCACCAGGGTGACAAAGACGGCCGGACGTGGTGCTGGCCACCCACCTTCATAGGTGCTGCTCGCTAACAGCACTTGCCTCGGCCGTCTATTAAGGCTCTAACGGGGAATCTTCGTCTTTGTTGACATTCTTTCGCCCCGTACCAACCTCGTTAATGGGAGGTGCGTGCCCACCCGCTGTAATGTATAAGCACGGGAAGGCAAAGGCGGCCGGGCGTGGCGCTGGCCACCCGCCCCCTCTCGCGCCCCTGCCGGGCCTGCGTAGGCACCGCTGCTCGCCGACAGCACTTGCCCCCGACGGTCCACTAAAGGCTACGCGGGGGACCTTTGCCTTTGCGTGACACCGCAGAGCGCCGGCGTCCACCGACCGGAATGGGTTCCACCGTGGCCGGTGGCAGTCGACGGAGTCGCTGTCCCTCTTCAGCCGGCTCATGGGCAACTCCATGGAGTCGCTGCCAGACGATGGTGAGGCCCCACTCACTCAGAAATTCCCATAGACTCAACACTACCCATAGACTCAACACTGCCCATAGACTCAACACTACCCATAGACTAACACTGCCCATAGACTCAACACTACCCATAGACTCAACACTGCCCATAGACTCAACACTGCCCATAGACTCAACACTACCCATAGACTCAACACTGCCCATAGACTCAACACTACCCATAGACTCAACACTGCCCATAGACTCAACACTACCCATAGACTCAACACTGCCCATAGACTCAACACTGCCCATAGACTCAACACTACCCATAGACTCAACACTGCCCATAGACTCAACACTGCCCATAGACTAACACTGCCCATAGACTCAACACTGCCCATAGACTCAACACTGCACCATAGACTCAACACTGCCCATAGACTCAACACTACCCATAGACTCATCACTGCCCATAGACTCAACACTGCCTATAGACTAACACTGCCCATAGACTCAGCACTGCCCATAGACTCAACACTGCCCATAGACTCAACACTGCACCATAGACTCAACACTGCACCATAGACTCAACACTGCCCATAGACTCAACACTGCCCATAGACTCAACACTACCCATAGACTCAACACTGCCCATAGACTCAACACTGCCCATAGACTAACACTGCCCATAGACTCAACACTGCCCATAGACTCAACACTACCCATAGACTCATCACTGCCCATAGACTCAACACTGCCTATAGACTAACACTGCCCATAGACTCAGCACTGCCCATAGACTCAACACTACCCATAGACTTAACACTGCCCATAGACTCAACACTACCCATAGACTCAACACTGCCCATAGACTCATCACTACCCATAGACTTAACACTGCCCATAGACTCAACACTACCCATAGACTCAACACTGCCCATAGACTCAACAAAGCTGCGCTTTCCGCTGCTGTCTCGCCGGTGCAGGGGACGTGATCGAGTGCAGCCTCATGGGCAGCCTGGAGGAGGACGCTCGCTACTTCGAGGCCGACTCGTGGAGCGTCGCCGTGGACGCCAAGTTCATCAAGAGGCAGAACAAGGACGAGATCAAGAGGCAGGACGTCATCTACGGTAACGGGCCGGCCACATCACTACACGAGATCTAGCCCACGCCGTGACGCGCCAGGCCACACCGTGACGCGAGATCTGTTTGTATAGGCCACTGATCTAGACAGCTGTGGTTCAGAAGCGACGCCACCTGGAAACAAATGACAGCTCAATTGATAGTAGCAGCCAAAAACTCTTAAACGCGTGCAGGGGAAAACTACGTGACCACGGGGGGAGAGAGAAGCAAACTCGAAATATACTACAGCTGTCGTCAGGGTTGGGATCGAACAATCACTCGCACACAACACAATCACTCGCACACAACACAATCACTCGCACACAACACAATCACTCACACACAACACAATCACTCACACACAACACAATCACCCACACACAACACAATCACTCGCACACAATCACTCACACACAACACAATCACTCACACACAACACAATCACTCGCACACAACACAATCACTCGCACACAACACAATCACTCACACACAACACAATCACTCGCACACAACACAATCACTCGCACACAACACAATCACTCGCACACAATCACTCACACACAACACAATCACTCGCACACAATCACTCGCACACAATCACTCACACACAACACAATCACTCACACACAATCACTCACACACAACACAATCACTCGCACACAACACAATCACTCGCACACAACACAATCACTCACACACAACACAATCACTCGCACAACACAATCACTCACAACACAATCACTCACACACAACACAATCACTCGCACACAACATAATCACTCGCACACAACACAATCACTCACACACAACACAATCACTCACACACAACACAATCACTCACACACAACACAATCACTCGCACACAATCACTCACACACAACACAATCACTCGCACACAATCACTCGCACGCAATCACTCACACACAACACAATCACTCACACACAATCACTCACACACAACACAATCACTCGCACAACACAATCACTCGCACACAACACAATCACTCGCACACAACACAATCACTCGCACAACACAATCACTCGCACACAACACAATCACTCACACACAACACAATCACTCGCACAACACAATCACTCACACACAACATCCACTTCCCCCTGTGTTGGTCACTACCATCACTCCACCGCACCTCCGTTCCACCGCACCACCCCACCACCGCACCTCTGCACCATCTCACCACCGCACCCCCTGCACCCACCCACGCCCTCCGCAAACCGTCCGACCGCCAGAGCTGATGCAGACGGAGATGCACCACATCCGGACGCTGCGCATCATGGCGGACGTGTTCGGGCGAGGCCTGCGCCAGGAGTTGGGCTGGACGGCGGAGATGGTGGAGCGGCTGTTCCCGCGGCTGGACGACCTCCTGGAGCTGCACACGCACTTCATCGCGCGCCTCCTGGAGCGCCGGCGAGACAGCCTCGATCCGGGCAGTGACCGCAACTTCACCGTCACGCGCGTTGGCGACGTCCTCATGGGCCAGGTGAGCCACGCCGGCGCTGCCGTCTGTGGCCCCGGTTGGGGGGGGGCGGGGGGTTTCATTAAAACTATAAACTAAATTTTTTTTTTTTTTTTTAAACTAAACTTATTAATTGGCCAGGCGTAAGGTTCCGACTGAGCTGCTGCATGTGTAGCTCTTTATCAGAAGCCACCTGCCCATCGCAAGTGATCGCTTTTACGGAGTGTGGCTTATCGTCGTCGTGTGGAACTTCATAGCAGCAGGCAAATAAGTTTCAAAACGCGTGGTGGCGTCCATTCTGAACGTGGAGGGGGAAAAACCGGAGGACCCGGAGAAAAATAACACGTGACCACGGAGAGAGAGAGAGAGAGACACGCAAACTTCAAATATGCAGCGGGCGTCAGGGTCGGGAACGAACCCACGACTTCCTGCGTAGCAGGCGAGGTGGTTGACATCTCCTATCCACCGTGGGTCCCGAGGAACGCGGCCGGTTCGCCGGGACGGTTGTCACCGACGCGCTACGCCGGTTGGCTTGTATCGCGGCCGGAGAGAGTGCCGGTGAAGGCGGAAGCCTCGGTGGCTAGGAGATGTTAACTCCCTCGCGCGGTATACAGGAGGTGGTCGCGGGTTCGATCCCGACCCTGATGCCCGCTGTATATTTTGAGACTGCGTGTTGTACTGGTGACAATGACAATGAAGGATCTCTCTCTCTCTCTATCTCTCTCTCTCTCCCCGTGGTTGTGTGGAGTTTTTTCTCCGGAAGCTCCGGTATTTCCCTCCGCGTTTAGAATCGACGTCACCGCGCGTCCGGGGGATCCGGTTAGTACGTGGGATTCAGGCCGCCACTGCGGTTGAGTGGTGTTGTGGTTGAGTGGTGTTGTGGTTGAGTGGTGTTGTGGTTGAGTGGTGTGGTTGAGTGGTGTTGTGGTTGAGTGGTGCTGTGGTTGAGTGGTGTTGTGGTTGAGTGGTTGAGTGGTGCTGTGGTTGAGTGGTGCTGTGGTTGAGTGGTGCTGTGGTTGAGTGGTTGAGTGGTGCTGTGGTTGAGTGGTGCTGTGGTTGAGTGGTTGGGTGGTGTTGTGGTTGAGTGGTGCTGTGGTTGAGTGGTGTTGTGGTTGAGTGGTGCAGTGGTTGAGTGGTGCAGTGGTTGAGTGGTGTTGTGGTTGAGTGGTGTTGTAGTTGAGTGGTGTTGTGGTTGAGTGGTGTTGTGGATGAGTGGTGCTGTGGTTGAGTGGTGCTGTGGTTGAGTGGTTGAGTGGTGTTGTGGTTGAGTGGTGCTGTGGTTGAGTGGTGCTGTGGTTGAGTGGTGTTGTGGTTGAGTGGTGTTGTGGTTGAGTGGTGTTGTGGTTGAGTGGTGCTGTGGTTGAGTGGTGCTGTGGTTGAGTGGTGCTGTGGTTGAGTGGTGGTGTGGTTGAGTGGTGTTGTGGTTGAGTGGTGCTGTGGTTGAGTGGTGTTGTGGTTGAGTGGTGTTGTGGTGGAGTGGTGTTGTGGTTGAGTGGTGCTGTGGTTGAGTGGTGCTGTGGTTGAGTGGTGTTGTGGTTGAGTGGTGTTGTGGTTGAGTGGTGCTGTGGTTGAGTGGTGTTGTGGTTGAGTGGTGCTGTGGTTGAGTGGTGCTGTGGTTGAGTGGTGCTGTGGTTGAGTGGTGTTGTGGTTGAGTGGTGTTGTGGTTGAGTGGTGCTGTGGTTGAGTGGTGCTGTGGTTGAGTGGTGTTGTGGTTGAGTGGTTGAGTGGTGTTGTGGTTGAGTGGTGTTGTGGTTGAGTGGTGCAGTGGTTGAGTGGTGCTGTGGTTGAGTGGTGTTGTGGTTGAATGGTGCAGTGGTTGAGTGGTGCTGTGGTTGAGTGGTGTTGTGGTTGAGTGGTTGAGTGGTGTTGTGGTTGAGTGGTGCTGTGGTTGAGTGGTGTTGTGGTTGAGTGGTGCTGTGGTTGAGTGGTGCTGTGGTTGAGTGGTGCTGTGGTTGAGTGGTGTTGTGGTTGAGTGGTGTTGTGGTTGAGTGGTGTTGTGGTTGTGTGGTGTTGTGGTTGAGTGGTGCAGTGGTTGAGTGGTGGTGTGGTTGAGTGGTGTTGTGGTTGAGTGGTGGTGTGGTTGAGTCGTGCTGCGGTTGAGTGGTGCAGTGGTTGAGTGGTTGAGTGGTGTTGTGGTTGAGTGGTGTTGTGGTTGAGTGGTTGAGTGGTGTTGTGGTTGAGTGGTGTTGTGGTTGACTGGTGCAGTGGTTGAGTGGTTGAGTGGTGTTGTGGTTGAGTGGTGTTGTGGTTGAGTGGTTGAGTGGTGTTGTGGTTGAGTGGTGTTGTGGTTGAGTGGTGCTGTGGTTGAGTGGTGTTGTGGCTGAGTGGTGTTGTGGTTGAGTGGTGCTGTGGTTGAATGGTTGAGTGGTGTTGTGGTTGAGTGGTGTTGTGGTTGAGTGGTGCTGTGGTTGAGTGGTGCTGTGGTTGAGTGGTGTTGTGGTTGAGTGGTGTTGTGGTTGAGTGGTGTTGTGGTTGAGTGTTGCTGTGGTTGAGTGGTGTTGTGGTTGAGTGGTGTTGTGGTTGAGTGGTGTTGTGGTTGAGTGGTGCTGTGGTTGAGTGGTGTTGTGGTTGAGTGGTGCTGTGGTTGAGTGGTGTTGTGGTTGAGTGGTGTTGTGGTTGAGTGGTGTTGTGGTTGAGTGGTGCTGTGGTTGAGTGGTGTTGTGGTTGAGTGGTGCTGTGGTTGAGTGGTGCTGTGGTTGAGTGGTGTTGTGGTTGAGTCGTGCTGCGGTTGAGTGGTGTTGTGGTTGAGTGTTGCTGTGGTTGAGTGGTGTTGTGGCTGAGTGGTGTTGTGGTTGAGTGGTGCTGTGGTTGAATGGTTGAGTGGTGTTGTGGTTGAGTGGTGCTGTGGTTGAGTGGTGCTGTGGTTGAGTGGTGCTGTGGTTGAGTGGTGTTGTGGTTGAGTGGTGTTGTGGTTGAGTGGTGTTGTGGTTGAGTGGTGCTGTGGTTGAGTGGTGTTGTGGTTGAGTGTTGCTGTGGTTGAGTGGTGTTGTGGTTGAGTCGTGCTGCGGTTGAGTGGTGTTGTGGTTGAGTGGTGTTGTGGTTGAGTGGTGCTGTGGTTGAGTGGTGTTGTGGTTGAGTGGTGTTGTGGTTGAGTGGTGTTGTGGTTGAGTGGTGCTGTGGTTGAGTGGTGTTGTGGTTGAGTGGTGTTGTGGTTGAGTGGTGCTGTGGTTGAGTGGTGCTGTGGTTGAGCTGTCGCTCCCCCCCCCCCCCCCCCGTGCGCCCCTCCGCTTCCCCCAGTTTTCGGACGACAACGGGGACGCGATGAAGGACACCTATGGGGCCTTCTGCAGCCAGCACTGCGAGGCCGTGCGCTTCTACAAGGAGAACTTCGCTCGCGAGAGGAAGTTCCAGAGTTTCATCCGGGTGCGGCACACGCGCGCACACTCGCACGCACACTCGCACACACACACGTGCACACACGTGCACACACACACACTCGCACGCACACACGCGCACACTCGCATGCATGCAGCACGCAACACACGTGCGCACACACGCATGCTCACACACGCATGCGCGCACACGTGCGCACACACACACGCGTGCGTACACACTGCACACACACACGCATGTGCACACACCTCAGTGATTGGATGATATCGGTCACTGCTCGGCCAGGCTGCCGTGCGTGACCGTGAGCATCACGTGACCAACTATGCTGTGGCGTGCGTGTGTGTCAGCGCGTGCGTGTTAATGTGTGTGCGTGTTAATGTGTTTGCGTGTCTGCGCGTGCGTGTTAATGTGCGTGAGTGTCTGCGTGTGTGTGTCTGCGCGTGTGTGTCTGCGCGTGCGTGTTAATGTGCGTGCGTGTTAATGTGCGTGCGTGTTAATGTGCGTGCGTGTTAATGTGCGTGCGTGTTAATGTGCGTGCGTGTTAATGTGCGTGCGTGTTAATGTGCGTGCGTGTTGATGTGCGTGCGTGTTGATGTGCGTGCGTGTTGATGTGCGTGCGTGTTGATGTGCGTGCGTGTTGGTGTGCGTGCGTGTTAATGTGCGTGCGTGTTAATGTGCGTGCGTGTTAATGTGCGTGTTAATGCGCGTGTTAATGCACGTGCGTGTTAATGCGCGTGCGTGTTAATGCGCGTGCATGCCTGTGCGTGCGTGTTAATGTGCGTGTTAATGTGCATGCGTGTTAATGTGCGTGCGTGTTAATGTGCATGATAATGTGCGTGCGTGTTAATGTGCGTGTTAATGTGCGTGCGTGTTAATGTGCGTGTTAATGTGCGTGTTAATGTGCGTGTCTGTGTGTTAATGTGCGTGCGTTTCAGTGTGTGTTAATGTGCGTGTTAATGTGCGTGTTAATGTGCGTGTTAATGTGTGTGTTAATGTGCGTGCGTGTTAATGTGCGTGTTAATGTGCGTGTTAATGTGCGTGTTAATGTGCGTGCGTGTTAATGTGCGTGTTAATGTGTGTGTTGATGTGCGTGTTAATGTGCGTGTTAATGTGTGTGCGTGTTAATGTGCGTGTTAATGTGCGTGTTGATGTGCGTGTTGATGTGCGTGTCTGTGTGTGTTAATGTGCGTGCGTGTCTGTGTGTGTGTTAATGTGCTTGTTAATTTGCGTGTTAATGTGCGTGCGTGTTAATGTGTGTGTTACTGTGCGTGCGTGTTAATGTGCGTGTTAATGTGCGTGTTAATGTGCGTGTTAATGTGCGTGTTAATGTGCGTGTTAATGTGCGTGTTAATATGCGTGTTAATGTGCGTGTTAATGTGTGTGCGTGTTAATGTGCGTGTTAATGTGCGTGTTAATGTGCGTGTTAATGTGCATGTTAATGTGCGTGTTAATGTGCGTGTTAATGTGCGTGTTGATGTGCGTGTTAATGTGCGTGTTAATGTGCGTGTTAATGTGCGTGTTAATGTGCGTGTTAATGTGCGTGTTAATGTGCGTGTTAATGTGCGTGTTAATGTGCGTGTCTGTGTGCGCGCGTCGCTGCCCTGCAGCGCCAGAGTTCCAACGCGCTGGTGCGGAGGCTCGGGGTGCAGGAGTGCATCCTCCTCGTCACCCAGCGCATCACCAAGTACCCGGTGCTCATCGACCGCATCCTGCGCTCCACCAGGGGTACGGCCCCCTCCCTGGCTCCCTGCCGCCCCGCCCCCGCCCCCGCGTCGCTGTGCGGCCGTCCTGTTGGGAGGCGTCGTCATCCGTGTGACGCCGGTCCAATATCGACGACACTTCAGCGTTAAGCTGTGCTACTGTCAGGGGCCCTTAACCCCACGGTTCCGAGTGAGTGAGTGTGGGTGGGTGGGCGAGTGAGTGAGTGGGTGGGTGAGCGAGTGAGTGGGTGGGTGGGTGGGCGAGTGAGTGAGTGGGTGGGTAGGCGAGCGAGTGAGTGGGTGGGCGAGCGAGTGAGTGGGTGGGTGAGCGAGTGAGTGTGTGGGTGAGCGAGTGAGTGGGTGGGTGAGCGAGTGAGTGTACGGGTGGATGAGCGAGTGAGTGTATGGGTGGGTTAGCGGGTGGGTGAGTGAATGAGTGGGTGGGTCGGTGATCGAGTGAGTGGGTTAGCGAGCGAGTGAGTGGGTGGGTAGGTGGGGTGGGTGGGTGAGCGAGTGAGTGGGTGGGTGGGTGAACGAGTGAGTGAGTCGGTGGGTGAGCGAGTGAGTGGGGTGGGTGGGCGAGCGAGTGGGGTGGGTGGGTGAGCGAGTGGGTGGGTGGGTGAGCGAGCGAGTGAGTGAGTGGGTGGGTGGGTGAGCGAGCGAGTGAGTGGGTGAGTGGGTGGCTGAGCGAGTGAGTGAGTGGGTGAGCGAGCGAGCGAGTGAATGGGTGGGCGAGCGAGTGAGTGGGTGGGTGGGTGAGCGAGCGGGTGAGTGGGTGGCTGAGCGAGAGTGAAGATGAAACCAGTCGGTGCGCCAGACCGAGCCGTCCCACCCGGTCGCGATAACCATCGCGGCGTCCCCGCTCGCGGCCGCGGCGTGCAGAGGGCTCGGCGGAGCACGAGGAGCTGACGCGGGCGCTGGCGATGATCCGCGGCGTCATCTCTGCGGTGGACGAGCGCGTGAGCGAGCACGGCAAGCGCCTGCGCCTCATCGAGCTCTACAACCGCATGGACAGCAAGGCGGGGACGCGGCTACGTGACGGCGCCACCTTCACCCGCGCCGACCTCATGGCCAAGCGGCTGGTGCACGACGGCACGCTCGGCATCCGCACGCCCGCCGGGCGCTCCAAGGGTGAGGGCCACCCGCCGTGGCTGGGAGATGTTAACGCCCTCGCCTGCTGTGCAGGAGGTCGTGGGCTCCGTCCTGACCCTGACGGGCGCCTGCTGCTGTCGAGTTTGCGGTGTCTCTCTCGCTCTCTCTCTCTCCCCGTGGCCGTGTGGATTGTTCTCCGGGGTCCTCCGGTTTTCCCCCCTCCACGTTCGCCATCAACGTCACCTACGCGTTCGCAGTAATTTCACTGCTGCTGCTGCTGCTGCTACTGCTGCTACACGTATCCACGCGGCGACGACGATGACGACGACGATGACGACGACGACAACGATGACGACGATGATGACGACGACGAGCCACTTGGTTTAGCTGCCGTCATTCGTTTGGTGGCCCGGGTCGCCACGTAGCAGCTCCGTGTGGGGCCTTACCTGGTAAAGTCAAAAATAGTTTAGTAAATGAACCTCATGGCGGGACCCCGGGGTCAAAATCGGAGTTAACTAATTTATTTTTGGCGTCTCCGTCCCGCCGCGACGCGCCCGGCACGGATCGTCCTGCTGCCACGGCGTCCAAGCGCGGCGGCGGCGGCGGCGGCGGCGGCGAGGACGATGGCGCAGCAGAAACAAAACGTGGAGACTTTGATGGGCGCCTCGCGTGGAGCTCGCCGAGAGGAACGGATCGCCGTGTCGGGTCGCCTTCGACGGGCACAGAACGACGTCGCGACGCGGTTCACGCGAGAGCCGGGGAGTTCCGCCATGAGGTTCAACGGAGTAGCCGGGCCCGGCGCTTGGTCATCGGAGCTGGGGGAGACAAAGGCGGCCGGGCGTGGTGCTGGCCACCCACCCCCTCGTGTGCCGTGCCGGCCTTCATAGGTGCTCGCTAACGGCACTTGCCCCTACAGTCTGTTAAGGCTACACGGGGGATCTTTGTTTGTGCGCGTGTGCGCGCGTTGCAGATATCCTGGCCGTGGTGTTCACGGACAGCCTCGTCCTCCTGCAGGAGAAGGATCAGAAGTACATCTTCCCGTCGCTGGTGAGCACCACGTGGCATCCGCACGGCCTCACGAGGTCGCCGCTCATTTCCCAAGGAGAACCCCTCCACGGACAACCCAGTGGACTCCGGATCTACACTGCACTGCCATCGTCATAACTCTCCCATCCTCCCTCCCACCCCTCCCCTGTCTCCCACCCCTCCCTCCCTCTCCTCCCTCCCACCCTCCCACCCCTCCCTCCCACACCTCCCTACCTCCCACCCCCCCTCTCCCTCCCTTCCCCTCCCCTCTCTCCCTCCCACCCTTCCATCCGTCTGTCTTCTCTGCCCTCCGCTCTATTTGTTCATCCACCTGTCCTTCCGCCCGTCCATCTGTCCGTCCGATTGTAAACTAAACGACGTTTCAACTGAACCTACACAGCCCAGTGTGGCCTTACGCTCATCATGTGGGGACATCTACAGAGATGCGCAAACTCCAAATACGCAGCGGCAGGCATGGTCAGGGGTCGGGATCGAACCCGCGTCCTCCTGCGTACCGGGCGAGGGAGTTAACATCTCGCAGCCACCGCGGGGCCCCAATCTCGCGAACGAGACTGCGACCGTGGCGTCTCGGCCACGCGAGATTAACCGCGTGGCGGCGCGGCGCGTCTGTCCGTCGGTTCGGTGCGCGTGAGCAGGAGACGAAGCCGGCGGTGATCTCGCTGCAGAAGCTGATCGTGCGGGAGAAGGCCAACGAGGAGAAGGGCCTCTTCCTCATCAACGCCTCGGCCGCCGTGCCGGACATGTACGAGATCTACGCGTCGTCGCGCGAGGAGCGACAGTACTGGCTCTCGCTCATGCAGCGCGCCATCGCCAGGTCTGCGGAATGAGTGCAGAATGAGAGCGGAATGAGTGAGGAATGAGAGAGGATTGAGAGAGGAATGAGAGAAACATGAGTGAGGAATGAGTGAGGAATGAGTGTGGAATGAGAGAAAAATGAGACAGGAATGAGTGAGGAATGAGTGCGGAATGAGAGGAATAAGTGAGGAATGAGTGAGGAATGAGTGAGGAATGAGTGGAGAATGAGTGGAGAATGAGTGGAGAATGGGTGCGGAATTAGTGCGGAATGAGTGAGGAATGAGTGCGGAATGAGAGAGGATTGAGAGAGGAATCAGAGAAAAATGAGTGAGGAATGAGTGAGGAATGAGAAAAATGAGAGGAATGAGTGCGGAATGAGTGAGGAATGAGTGAGGAGTGAGTGGGGAGTGAGGAATGAGTGAGTGCGGAGTGAGTGAGGAATGAGTGAGTGCGGAGTGAGTGAGGAATGAGTAAGGAATGAGTGAGGAATGAGTGAGTGCGGCGTGAGTGAGTGCGGAGTGAGTGAGTGAGGAATGAGTGAGTGCAGAGTGAGTGAGGAATGAGTGATGAATGAGTGAGGAGTGAGTGAGGAGTGAGTGAGGAATGAGAGAGGAGTGAGTGAGGAATGAGTGAGGAGTGAGTGCGGAGTGAGTGCGGAGCGAGTGCGCAGTGAGGAGTGAGTGAGGAATGAGTGAGGAGTGAGTGGGGAGTGAGTGAGGAAGGAGTGAGGAGTGAGTGCGGAGTGAGTGGGGAGTGAGTGGGGAGTGAGAGGAGTGAGTGAGGAGCGAGTGAGGAATGAGTGAGTGGGGAGTGAGTGGGGAGTGAGTGAGGAGTGAGTGGGGAGTGAGGAATGAGTGAGGAATGAGTGAGTGCTTAGTGAATGAGTGAGGAGTGAGTGAGGAATGAGTGAGGTAGGAATGAGTGAGGAGTGAGTGAGGAATGAGTGAGGAATGAGTGGAGAATGAGTGAGGAGTGAGGTATGAGTGAGTGAGGTATGAGTGAGTGAGGAATGAGTGGAGAATGAGTGGAGAATGAGTGAGGTAGGAATGAGCGAGGAGTGAGGAATGAGTGAGGAATGAGTGGAGAATGAGTGAGGAGTGAGTGAGGAGTGAGTGAGGAGTGAGTGAGGTATGAGTGAGGTATGAGTGAGTGAGGAATGAGTGGAGAATGAGTGGAGAATGAGTGAGGAATGAGTGAGGAATGAGTGGAGAATGAGTGAGGAATGAGTGAGGAATGAGTGGAGAATGAGTGAGGAATGAGTGGAGAATGAGTGAGTGGAGAATGAGTGAGGGAGGAATGAGTGAGGGAGGAATGAGTGAGTGAGGAGTGAGTGAGGAATGAGTGAGTGAGGAATGAGTGAGTGAGGAATGAGTGAGTGAGGAATGAGTGAGTGAGGAATGAGTGAGTGAGGAATGAGTGAGTGAGGAATGAGTGAGGAATGAGTGGAGAATGAGTGGAGAATGAGTGAGGAATGAGTGAGGAATGAGTGGAGAATGAGTGAGGAATGAGTGAGGAATGAGTGGAGAATGAGTGAGGAATGAGTGGAGAATGAGTGAGTGGAGAATGAGTGAGGGAGGAATGAGTGAGGGAGGAATGAGTGAGGGAGGAATGAGTGAGTGAGGAGTGAGTGAGGAATGAGTGAGTGAGGAATGAGTGAGTGAGGAATGAGTGAGTGAGGAATGAGTGAGTGAGGAATGAGTGAGTGAGGAATGAGTGAGTGAGGAATGAGTGAGTGAGGAATGAGTGAGTGAGGAATGAGTGAGTGAGGAATGAGTGAGTGAGGAATGAGTGAGTGAGGAATGAGTGAGGAATGAGTGGAGAATGAGTGAGGAATGAGTGGAGAATGAGTGGGGAACGAGTGAGGAATGAGTGGAGAATGAGTGAGGAATGAGTGGAGAATAGGTGAGTGAGGAATGAGTGAGGAATGAGTGAGGAATGAGTGAGGAATGAGTGGAGAATGAGTGGAGAATGAGCGAGGAATGAGTGAGGAATGATTGAGGAATGAGTGAGGAATGAGTGGGGAATGAGTGAGGAATGAGTGGAGAATGAGTGGAGAATGATTGAGGAATGAGTGGAGAATAGGTGAGTGAGGAATGAGTGGAGAATGAGTGAGGAATGAGTGGAGAAATGAGTGGAGAATGAGAGGAATGAGTGAGTGAGGAATGAGTGAGGAATGAGTGAGGTATGAGTGAGTGAGCTATGAGTGAGTGAGGTATGAGTGAGTGAGGTATGAGTGAGTGAGGTATGAGTGAGGAATGAGTGAGGTATGAGTGAGTGAGGTATGAGTGAGTGAGGTATGAGTGAGTGAGGTATGAGTGAGTGAGGTATGAGTGAGTGAGGTATGAGTGAGTGAGGTATGAGTGAGTGAGGTATGAGTGAGTGAGGTATGAGTGAGGAATGAGTGAGGAATGAGTGAGGAATGAGTGGAGAATGAGTGGGGAATGAGTGGAGAAATGAATGAGGAATGAGTGGAGAATGAGTGAGGAAGGAGTGGAGAATGAGTGAGGAATGAGTGGAGAATGAGTGAGTGAGGAATGAGTAGAGAATGAATGAGGAATGAGCGAGGAATGAGTGGAGAATGAGTGAGTGAGGAATGAGTGGAGAATGAATGAGGAATGAGTGAGGAATGAGTGGAGAATGAGTGGAGAATGAGTGAGGAATGAGTGAGGAATGAGTGGAGAATGAGTGAGTGAGGAGTGAGTGAGGAATGAGTGAGTGAGGAATGAGTGAGTGAGGAATGAGTGAGTGAGGAATGAGTGAGTGAGGAGTGAGTGAGTGAGGAATGAGTGAGTGAGGAGTGAGTGAGTGAGGAGTGAGTGAGTGAGGAGTGAGTGAGTGAGGAGTGAGTGAGTGAGGAGTGAGTGAGTGAGGAGTGAGTGAGTGAGGAGTGAGTGAGTGAGGAGTGAGTGAGTGAGGAATGAGTGAGTGAGGAATGAGTGAGTGAGGAATGAGTGAGTGAGGAATGAGTGAGTGAGGAATGAGTGAGTGAGGAATGAGTGAGTGAGGAATGAGTGAGTGAGGATTGAGTGGAGAATAGGTGAGTGAGGAATGAGTGGAGAATGAGTGAGGAATGAGTGGCGAATGAGTGGAGAATGAGTGGAGAATGAGTGAGTGAGGAGTGAGTGAGGAATGAGTGAGTGAGGAATGAGTGAGTGAGGAATGAGTGAGTGAGGAGTGAGTGAGTGAGTGAGGAGTGAGTGAGTGAGGAGTGAGTGAGTGAGGAGTGAGTGAGTGAGGAGTGAGTGAGTGAGGAGTGAGTGAGTGAGGAGTGAGTGAGTGAGGAGTGAGTGAGTGAGGAGTGAGTGAGTGAGGAATGAGTGAGTGAGGAATGAGTGAGTGAGGAATGAGTGAGTGAGGAATGAGTGAGTGAGGAATGAGTGAGTGAGGAATGAGTGAGTGAGGAATGAGTGAGTGAGGAATGAGTGAGGAATGAGTGACGAATGAGTGAGGAATTAGTGAGGAATGAGTGGAGAATGAGTGGAGAATGAGTGGAGAATGAGTGAGGATTGAGTGGAGAATAGGTGAGTGAGGAATGAGTGGAGAATGAGTGAGGAATGAGTGGAGAATGAGTGGAGAATGAGTGAGGAGTGAGTGAGGAGTGAGTGAGTGAGGAATGAGTGAGTGAGGAATGAGTGAGTGAGGAATGAGTGAGTGAGGAACGAGTGAGTGAGGAGTGAGTGAGTGAGGAATGAGTGAGTGAGGAATGAGTGAGTGAGTGAGGAGTGAGTGAGTGAGGAGTGAGTGAGTGAGGAGTGAGTGAGTGAGGAGTGAGTGAGTGAGGAGTTAGTGAGTGAGGAATGAGTGAGTGAGGAATGAGTAAGTGAGGAATGAGTGAGTGAGGAATGAGTGAGTGAGGAATGAGTGGAGAATGAGTGAGGAATTAGTGAGGAATGAGTGGAGAATGAGTGAGTGAGGAATGAGTGAGGAATGAGTGAGTGAGGAATGAGTGAGTGAGGAATGAGTGAGTGAGGTATGAGTGAGGAATGAGTGAGGTATGAGTGAGGTATGAGTGAGTGAGGTATGAGTGAGTGAGGTATGAGTGAGTGAGGTATGAGTGAGTGAGGTATGAGTGAGGAATGAGTGAGGAATGAGTGAGGAATGAGTGGAGAATGAGTGGGGAATGAGTGAGTGAGGAATGAGTGGGGAAATGAATGAGGAATGAGTGGAGAATGAGTGAGGAATGAGTGGAGAATGAGTGAGGAATGAGTGGAGAATGAGTGAGTGAGGAATGAGTAGAGAATGAATGAGGAATGAGCGAGGAATGAGTGGAGAATGAGTGAGTGAGGAATGAGTGGAGAATGAATGAGGAATGAGTGAGGAATGAGTGGAGAATGAGTGAGGAATGAGTGAGGAATGAGTGGAGAATGAGTGGAGAATGAGTGGAGAATGAGTGAGGATTGAGTGGAGAATAGGTGAGTGAGGAATGAGTGGAGAATGAGTGAGGAATGAGTGGAGAATGAGTGGAGAGTGAGTGAGGAGTGAGTGAGGAATGAGTGAGTGAGGAATGAGTGAGTGAGGAGTGAGTGAGTGAGGAGTGAGTGAGGAGTGAGTGAGGAATGAGTGAGTGAGGAATGAGTGAGTGAGGAGTGAGTGAGTGAGGAGTGAGTGAGTGAGGAGTGAGTGAGGAGTGAGTGAGTGAGGAGTGAGTGAGTGAGGAATGAGTGAGTGAGGAATGAGTGAGTGAGGAATGAGTGAGTGAGGAATGAGTGAGTGAGGAATGAGTGAGTGAGGAATGAGTGAGTGAGGAATGAGTGAGTGAGGAATGAGTGAGTGAGGAATGAGTGAGTGAGGAATGAGTGAGTGAGGAATGAGTGAGGAATGAGTGGAGAATGAGTGACGAATGCGTGAGGAATTAGTGAGGAATGAGTGGAGAATGAGTGGAGAATGAGTGGAGAATGAGTGAGGATTGAGTGGAGAATAGGTGAGTGAGGAATGAGTGGAGAATGAGTGGAGAATGAGTGGAGAATGAGTGAGGAGTGAGTGAGGAATGAGTGAGTGAGGAATGAGTGAGTGAGGAATGAGTGAGTGAGGAACGAGTGAGTGATGAACGAGTGAGTGAGGAGTGAGTGAGTGAGGAATGAGTGAGTGAGGAGTGAGTGAGTGAGGAGTGAGTGAGTGAGGAGTGAGTGAGTGAGTGAGGAGTGAGTGAGTGAGGAGTGAGTGAGTGAGGAATGAGTGAGTGAGGAATGAGTGAGTGAGGAATGAGTGAGTGAGGAATGAGTGAGTGAGGAATGAGTGAGTGAGGAATGAGTGAGTGAGGAATGAGTGAGTGAGGAATGAGTGAGTGAGGAATGAGTGAGTGAGGAATGAGTGAGTGAGGAATGAGTGAGTGAGGAATGAGTGAGTGAGGAATGAGTGAGTGAGGAATGAGTGAGTGAGGAATGAGTGAGGGAGGAATGAGTGAGTGAGGAATGAGTGAGTGAGGAATGAGTGAGTGAGGAATGAGTGAGTGAGGAATGAGTGAGTGAGGAATGAGTGAGTGAGGAATGAGTGAGTGAGGAATGAGTGAGTGAGGAATGAGTGAGGAATGAGTGACGAATGAGTGAGGAATTAGTGAGGAATGAGTGGAGAACGAGTGAGTGAGGAATGAGTGAGTGAGGAATGAGTGAGTGAGGAATGAGTGAGTGAGGAATGAGTGAGGAATGAGTGAGTGAGCAGTGAGTGAGGAGTGAGTGAGGAATGAGTGGAGAATGAGTGAGGAATGAGTGAGGAATGAGTGGAGAATGAGTGAGTGGAGAATGAGTGAGTGGAGAATGAGTGAGTGAGGAATGAGTGAGTGAGGAATGAGTGAGTGAGGAATGAGTGAGTGAGGAGTGAGTGAGGAATGAGTGAGGAATGAGTGAGTGAGGAATGAGTGAGTGAGCAATGAGTGAGTGAGCAATGAGTGAGTGAGCAATGAGTGAGTGAGCAATGAGTGAGTGAGCAATGAGTGAGTGAGCAATGAGTGAGTGAGCAGTGAGTGAGTGAGGAGTGAGTGAGTGAGGAGTGAGTGAGGAATGAGTGAGTGAGGAATGAGTGGAGAATGAGTGAGGAATGAGTGGAGAATGAGTGAGTGAGGAATGAGTGAGGAATGAGTGAGTGAGGAATGAGTGAGGAGTGAGTGAGTGAGTGAGGAGTGAGTGAGGAGTGAGTGGAGAATGAGTGGAGAATGAGTGAGGAATGAGTGAGGAATGAGTGAGTGAGGAATGAGTGAGTGAGGAATGAGTGAGGTATGAGTCAGTGGAGAATGAGTGGAGAATGAGTGGAGAATGAGTGGAGAATGAGTGAGGAATGAGAGGTAACGCGACGGTCGGTGCGTCACGACCCGCAGCTGCCCGGACATCGACGAGGGCGTGCCGAGCGAGACGGAGGAGGACAAGAAGCTCACCGACGCCAAGAAGCGGAAGGCTCGCGAGTTCCAGGGTACGACGCCGTCACAAGTCGTCACCCCACCCCGGCGACACGTTCACGTCATCGCGCCTTCGGGGGTCCATCACGGAGCTTGCGTCTCTCTCTCTCTCTGTTGGCGCGCCTTCGGGGGTCCATCACGGAGCCCTCTCTCTCTCTCTCTGCCTGCTGGCGCGTCGATTCCCTCCGGCTGCTCCGGTTTCCTGCCGCGGCCGCCGCGGCCGGTGTCGGACAAACGTCCCAGTGTGGCTTTCCTGGCTAAACGAGGTGTTTGTGTCAATGTGTTAATGTGTCAATGTGTTAATGTGTCAATGTGTTAATGTGTTAATGTGTTGATGTGTTAATGTGTCAATGTGTTAATGTGTCAATGTGTTAATGTGTTGATGTGTTGATGTGTCAATGTGTTAATGTGTTAATGTGTCAATGTGTTAATGTGTCAATGTGTTAATGTGTCACCGTTGTTGATGTTGAGCCTGCCGCCACGGCCTCTCATTGTGGTCTCCCGTGCCCCCCTCCCCCCCAGGCCGGCTGGCGAGCCGCGACGCGGTGATGCGTGCCGTGCTGGAGGAGAAGCTCAAGATCTACGCCGAGATGGCCGAGTACTTCAGCTGCGAGGAGCCGGCGGCAGCACCGGCGGCGGCGCCGGCGGCGGCGGCCGAGGGCTCCGCCGCCGCCGCCGGCGGTGCCGTGGCGCACCGCACGCTGCTCCGTCTGGACAGCGCGGAGCTCCGTGGGGAGCCGCTCCTCAACAAGGGGCTACAGGAGGGTGAGGAGCCATCGCAGCCTGAGACCCCAGTTCAACACAGACCCCAGTTCAACCCAGACCCCAGTTCAACCCAGACCCCAGTTCAACCCAGACCCCAGTTCAACCCAGACCCCAGTTCAACCCAGACCCCAGTTCAACACAGACCCCAGTTCTACTGAGACCCCAGTTCAACCCAGACCCCAGTTCTACTGAGACCCCAGTTCTACTGAGACCCCAGTTCAACCTAGACCCCAGTTCAACCCAGACCCCAGTTCAACCCAGACCCCAGTTCAACCCAGACCCCAGTTCAACCCAGACCCCAGTTCAACCCAGACCCCAGTTCAACCCAGACCCCAGTTCTACTGAGACCCCAGTTCTACTGAGACCCCAGTTCAACCTAGACCCCAGTTCAACCCAGACCCCAGTTCTACTGAGACCCCAGTTCAACCTAGACCCCAGTTCAACACAGACCCCAGTTCTACTGAGACCCCAGTTCAACCAGACCCCAGTTCAACCCAGACCCCAGTTCAACCCAGACCCCAGTTCAACCCAGACCCCAGTTCAACCCAGACCCCAGTTCTACTGAGACCCCAGTTCTACTGAGACCCCAGTTCTACTGAGACCCCAGTTCTACTGAGACCCCAGTTCAACCCAGACCCCAGTTCAATCCAGACCCCAGTGCAACACAGACCCCAGTTCTACTGAGACCCCAGTTCAACCCAGACCCCAGTTCTACTGAGACCCCAGTTCAACCCAGACCCCAGTTCTACTGAGACCCCAGTTCTACCCAGACCCCAGTTCAACCCAGACCCCAGTTCTACTGAGACCCCGGACCAAATCAACACGTGTTCAATCTTAAAGTGGAACATTTACCTGCGACTCCCCCCCCCCCGCCACCAACAGCTAACCTCTGACCCCCCAACCCTCCCCACCCTCTCCACCCTCCCCTCCGCCCCGTGTCACCGTGCATCTCGCCCGCCCGCCCGCCCGCCCGCCCGAGGCAGTGGAGAACCTCCAGAAGATGATCGCGAGCGCCGTCAGCTGCTACCAGCGGCAGAGTCACGACGGCAGCGCCGCGGCTCACGGCCCGGCGCTGCCCAAACGCGCCGAGACGTTTGGCGGCTTCGACAGCAGCACGCTCAAGCGGCACGGTGGGTGACGGCACCACCCACGACGAGTCCCACTCACGATGAGTCCCACCGATGATGAGTCCCACCAATGATGAGTCCCACCAATGATGAGTCCCACCGATGATGAGTCCCACCAATGATGAGTCCCACCCATGACAAGTCCCACCAATGATGAGTCCCACCCACGACGAGTCCCACCCACGACGAGTCCCACCCACGACGAGTCCCACCCACGACGAGTCCCACCCACGACAAATCCCACCAATGATGAGTCCCACTGACAATGAGTCCCACCAATGATGAGTCCCACCCACGACGAGTCCCACCCACGACGAGTCCCACCCACGACGAGTCCCACCCACGACGAGTCCCACCAATGATGAGTCCCACCCACGACGAGTCCCACTGACGACGAGTCCCACCCACGACGAGTCCCACCCACGACGAGTCCCACCAATGACGAGTCCCACCCACGACGAGTCCCACCAATGATGACGAGTCCCACTGACGATGAGTCCCACCCACGACGAGTCCCACCAATGATGAGTCCCACCCACGACGAGTCCCACTGACGAACAGTCCCACTGACGATGAGTCCCACTGACGATGAGTCCCACCGACACGCTTAATATTTTTTTGACATTTTTTCGTGACAACCCACAAAGACAAGTTGAAGCTTGAACTCGCTCGCTCGCTCGCTCGATCGGTGCGACGATTATGTGAACCGGTCCTGGTGGACGGTTAAATAATCAAGCCGGTGCGGTGCGGAGCAAACATCGCCAGCGGTGGAGACAAATGCGGCCGTGCGGGCCACGGGGCTGGCCACCCCACCCCCTCGTCGCGCGCCACCGGCGCCGGCCTTCGTAGGGGCCGCCGCTCCTCGCCCACTCACGGCGCTTGCGGCGGGGAACTTTGTCTCTGTCCGTCGGCGCGTGCGTAGACCCGGGTAAGGACGACCCGTCACGAGGCTCGTCCCCGACCCAGCAGCAGGAGCTCCGGCGCACGGAGTCCGACTCCGTCATCAAGAAGGTGAGCGGCCACCCCCCACTGCAAGGGATGGCGGTGGTCTAAGCGCGGTTGGCATGGCCCCCCCCCCTCCACCCCAAGTAGTGCGGCGTGTTGTTCACTCCCCCGACCCCTGACCCACCTGTGACCCCCCCCACCCCGCCCCCCCCCGTCTCGTGTCGTCCCCCTACGGCAGCACCGAGGCGGTGCCGGCCACATCGGCAACTTCCTGCGCACGCCGCTGGACATCGAGGTGAGCGGCCGGCCCCGGCACGGCCCGGCCAGATCGCACCGCACGCAGAGGCAGAGCTGTGTACACGAAGACAAAGATCCCCCGTGTAGCCTTAGCGGAACTGTAGGGGCAAGTGCTGTTAGCGAGCAGCGCCTATGAAGGCCGGCACGGCACACGAGGGGGTGGGTGGCCAGAACCACGCCCGGCCGCCTTTGTCTCTCCAGTGGCGATGTTTACACACCGCACCAGGTACTCATTTGAGGCTGAGTCGACCTAGGGGAGGCCCAGGACCGTACAGATAATTGTTACTGGTGTTGGCCATGAGTGGGAATCGAACTCAGGTCACCAGATTTGTAGCGCAGCGCTCCCTACCACACCTGTGTACACACACACACCTGTACACACACACACATACCTGTACGCACACACACACCTGTACACACACACACATACCTGTACGCACACACAGACCTGTACACACACACACATACCTGTACGCACACACACACACCTGTACGCACACACACACACCTGTACATACACACACACACACCTGTACATACACACACACACACCTGTGTACACACACACACACCTGTGTACACACACACACCTGTACACACACACACCTGTACATACACACACCTGTACATACACACACACACCTGTGTACTGTACACATACACCTGTACACACACACCTGTGTACACACACACACCTGTACATACAACAACCGCCATTCGCCACTAAGTGGCGGTGACGTCACCACGACGCTTGTGCCAGGCCATGTGCACCTTGAGGCCACATGAAGTGTCGAATGCCCGCTGGCAGGAGGTCACGGGGCAGACCCAAATGCCATGGGTCGACTGACTGGGATGACTGAGATGACTGGCTGATGCACCACCTGTGCCCCCTACTGTGCCTGTACATACACACACACCTGTACATACACACACACACCTGTGTACACACACACACCTGTGTACACACACACCTGTGTGTACACACACCTGTACATACACACACACACCTGTACACACACACCTGTACATACACACACACCTGTACACACACACCTATGTACGCACACACCTGTGTACTGTACACACACCTGTGTACACACACACACCTGGTACTGTACACACACATGTGTACTGTACACACACACACCTGTGTACACAAACATACCTGTGTACACACACACCTGTGTACACACACACATACCTGTACGCACACACACACCTGTACACACACACATACCTGTACATACACACACACTTGTACATACACACACACCTGTACACACACACACACACCTGTACATACACACACACACACCTGTACACACACACCTGTACGCACACACACACACACCTGTACATACACACACACCTGTACATACACACACACACCTGTACATACACAAACAAAGGACAAAGGACCCCCATATAGCCTTAACAGACTGTAGGGGCAAGTGCTGTTAGCGAGCACCTATGAAGGCCGGAACGGTACACGAGGGGGTGGGTGGCCAACACCACGCCCGACCGCCTTTGTCTCCCTAGTGGCAATGTTTACACACCGCACCAGGTACTCATTTGAGGCTGAGTCGACCTAGGGGAGGCCCGGAACCTGTTCAGATAATCGTCACTGGTGTTGGCCGTGAGCGGGAATCGAACCTGGGTCGCCAGGTTCATAGCGCAGCGCGCTAACCGCTACACTATCGCTCCCCACTGTACATACACACACACCTGTACACACACACCTATGTACGCACACACCTGTGTACTGTACACACACACCTGTGTACACAAACATACCTGTGTACACACACACCTGTGTACACACACACACCTGTGCACACACACACACCTGTACACACACACCTGGGTACACACACACCTGTGCGTACACACACCTGTGCGTACACACAAACCTGTGTGTACACACACAAACCTGTGTGTACACACACACACCTGTGTGTATACACACACACCTGTGTGTGTGTATACACACCTACCTGTGTGTACACACACACACACCTGTGTGTACACACACACACATGTGTGTATACACACCTGTGTGTACACACACACACCTGTGTGTACACACACCTGTACACACACACCTGTGTATATATACACACACACCTGTGTATATATACACACACACCTGTGTGTACACACACACACCTGTGTGTACACACACCTGTACACACACACCTGTACACACACACCTGTGTGTACACACACACCTGTGTGTACACACACACACCTGTGTGTACACACACCTGTACACACACACCTGTGTGTACACACACACAACCTTGTCACCATCCCCTCCCCGTGTGTGTGCAGGCCATGCAGAGCTCCATCTTCATCTTGACACAGACGATGTACAGCCTGCAGGTGAGAGCAACGCCGCCACCTCGTCAACTCCACCTCGTTCACTCCACCTCTTCACCGCCACCTCATCACCAACACCTTGTTGTCCCCAACAACACCTTACCGCCTCCTCCACCTCGTCACCTCCTCCACCTCGTCACCTCCTCCACCTCGTCTCCTCCTCATCACCTCATCATCTCCTCCACCTCGTCTCCCCTCCCCCCGGTCAGGCCGTGATAGCCCAGCAGGACTCGTTCATCGAGACGGCGCGATGCGGCCGCCACGCCGCCGCCGCCACCGCCGCCGCCGCCGCCGCTCAGGACGACGACCCCAACCGCACGCTGCGCCGGGGGGGCCCGGCAAACGTGGTGAGCCGCTCCGACACGGTGCGGGAGCGCGTGCCGCGGAGACGCCGCGCCGACGACGGCGGCGGCGACGCCGGCGCGGCCGCCGCGGGGTCCCGGCGGGGCTCTGCCGAGGAGCGGCAGGGGGAGGAGGAGCAGGAGGAGGAGGCCGGATGGAGCCGCGAGGAGCTGCGGTTCCGGTTGCTCGAGTGCGAGGCCGAGTGCCGCAAGATCAAGGTGAGTCTCGGCGCGAGTCTGGCCGAGAAACCCGGAACGTCAGCCGGATGTCCCCCCTCTCCGTCTCCGCCCTGGCGGCGAATACGCTGTGCCGAGAGAGTCCCCCCGCTGGGCACGGCGGGGGGACGCGGGCACGCGGACACACGGACACACAGACACGCGGACACACAGACACACGGACACACGGACAACGGGAGACACCGACTCACGCGGTTTGATCTTCGTTGCCCTGCTCGGTCGAGTTGCGGAGCGGCCAAGGCCTCGTCCTGTGTATGGTGCTATAGAAGTTCAACATACACACACTGCACATAGACTCAACACTGCCCATAGACTCAACACTGCACATAGACTCAACACTGCCCATAAACTCAACACTGCACATAGACTCAACACTGCCCATAAACTCAACACTACCCATAGACTCAACACTACCCATAGACTCAACACTGCCCATAGACTCAACACTGCTACCCATAGACTCAACACTACCCATAGACTCAACACTGCCCATAGACTCAACACTGCACATAGACTCAACACTGCCCATAGACTCAACACTGCCCATAGACTCAACACTGCACATTATTTAACAGATATATAGATAGAGAGATATTGACTGGGCTCTTTGCCGACCTCTTGGTCCGCTGTTACAAGTTGGCCACCCCCTCTACGGCCCGGTGCACAGAACCGCATGCGGCAAATAAATAAAAATATTCCTGTCGGCGGAACAGAATGAGGCGCTCACAGCCACAGACAAAGATCCCCAACGCGTCGCCTTCAAGAACACGGCACCACCCGCCTGGAAGTCTCGAGCCGAGCGATGACAGGGCGGGGGGGTTTGTCCGTCGTTTCAGGAGCAGTTGCTCAGCATGGAGAGCGGCGGTGAGGAGGCGGAGGAGGAAGCGGAGGGGGGGGAGAAGCGGCCGGGCGAGCCGCGGCGAGCGCTCCGGCACAGCCGGCAGAACAGCCTCCCCTGTGCCACACTGCTCACACAGGAGCAGCCGCCCTCCCTGCAGGTGCCAACGTCGTGCCGTTGTGACGACGACGATGACGACGATGATGACGATGATGACGATGATGACGACGATGACGACGATGATGATGATGATGACGACGATGATGATGACAACGATGATGATGATGATGATGACGACGACAACGATGATGATGACGATGACGACGACAACGATGATGATGACGATGATGACGACGATGATGATGATGACAACAATGACAATGACGACAATGACGAAGATGAAGGTGATGACGACGACGGTGATGACGATGACAACAAGAACACTCTACTCACTCTCACACTCACTCACACTCACTCCTACACTCACTCTCACACTCACTCTCACACTCACTCTCACACTTACTCACTCCCTCACTCACTCTCACACTTACTCCCACACTCACTCACTCACACATTCACTCACACACTCACTCCCACACTCACTCTCACACTCACTCACTCTCACACTCACTCTCACACACACTTACTCACTCACACTCACTAACTCACTCACTCCCGCTCTGACTCACTCTCACACTCACTCACACACTCGCCCTCACACTCACTCACTCTCTCACACTCACTCACACTCACTCTCGCCCTCACTCACGCTCACTCAAACTCACAGGGGGTGAGCGTGCACACTCACTCCCACAATCACTCTCACACTCACGCCCACACTCACTCACTCACACTCACAGGGGGTGAGCGTGCACACTCACTCCCACACTCACTCTCACACTCACGCCCACACTCACTCACTCTCACAGGGGGTGAGTGTGCACAACTCTACTCATTGTGACAGCCATCAGAGCTCCATCGCGGCTGGCGCCCTCTCGGCCACCCTCGTGGCGCTCAACGGACACTCACTAACGCCGCTGCGCTTGCTGTGTGTGTGTGCTGTGTGTGTGCTGTATTTGTGTGTGCTGTGTGTGTGCTGTGTGTGTGTGTGCTGTGTGCGTGCTGTGTGTGTGTGCTGTGTGTGCGTGCTGTGCGTGCTGTGTGTGTGCTGTGTGTGCTGTGTGCGTGCTGTGTGTGTGTGCTGTGTGTGCGTGCTGTGTGTGTGTGTGTGCGTGCTGTGCGTGCTGTGTGTGCGTGCTGTGTGTGCGTGCTGTGCGTGCTGTGTGTGCGTGCTGTGTGTGCGTGCTGTGTGTGTGTGCGTGCTGTGTGTGTGCGTGCTGTGTGTGTGCGTGCTGTGTGTGTGCGTGCTGTGTGTGTGTGCGTGCTGTGTGTGGGTGCTGTGTGTGCGTGCTGTGTGTGTGTGCGTGCTGTGTGTGTGCGTGCTGTGTGTGTGCGTGCTGTGTGTGTGCGTGCTGTGTGTGTGCGTGCTGTGTGTGTGCGTGCTGTGTGTGTGCGTGCTGTGTGTGTGCGTGCTGTGTGTGTGTGTGCTGTGTGTGTGCGTGCTGTGTGTGCGTGCTGTGTGTGCGTGCTGTGTGTGTGTGCGTGCTGTGTGTGTGTGTGCTGTGTGTGTGCGTGCTGTGCGCCATCCAGCAGCGCCGGGGCAGCGTGGGTGCGGCCTGCCTCGCCCTCCCGGCGGAGCGGAGACCTCCCCCACCCACCCTCACCGTGGACGGCCCCGACGGCGGCGCCGGCGGCGTGCCGGTCGGCACGGCCGCCCCCGTGCCCTCCTCCCGGCGGCCCCGGTCCAAGTGCCTCTCCCCTCCCGGCAAGGGACTGGCCGCCGGGCCTACCAGGGAGGAGGAGGAGGAGGAGGATTCGGACGAGTCCAAGACACCCACCAACATCCCTTCATCTCCCCCCTCCTCGCCAGGTTGGATGGCGCGACCCTCGCTGTCGTCTGTGGGCAGTGTTGAGTCTATGGGCAGTGTTGAGTCTATGGGCAGTGTTGAGTGTATGGGTAGTGTTGAGTCTATGGGTAGTGTTGAGTCTATGGGCAGTGTTGAGTCTATGGGTAGTGTTGAGTCTATGGGCAGTGTTGAGTCTATGGGCAGTGTTGAGTCTATGGGTAGCAGTGTTGAGTCTATGGGTAGTGTTGAGTCTATGGGCAGTGTTGAGTCTATGGGCAGTGTTGAGTCTATGGGCAGTGTTGAGTCTATGGGCAGTGTTGAGTGTATGGGTAGTGTTGAGTCTATGGGTAGTGTTGAGTCTATGGGCAGTGTTGAGTCTATGGGTAGTGTTGAGTCTATGGGCAGTGTTGAGTCTATGGGCAGTGTTGAGTCTATGGGTAGCAGTGTTGAGTCTATGGGTAGTGTTGAGTCTATGGGCAGTGTTGAGTCTATGGGCAGTGTTGAGTCTATGGGCAGTGTTGAGTCTATGGGTAGTGTTGAGTCTATGGGTAGTGTTGAGTCTATGGGTAGTGTTGAGTCTATGGGTAGTGTTGAGTCTATGGGTAGTGTTAAGTCTATGGGTAGTGTTGAGTCTATGGGTAGTGTTAAGTCTATGGGTAGTGTTGAGTCTATGGGTAGTGTTGAGTCTATGGGCAGTGTTGAGTCTATGGGCAGTGTTGAGTCTATTGGCAGTGTTGAGTCTATGGGCAGTGTTGAGTCTGTGGGCAGTGTTGAGTCTATGGGCAGTGTTGAGTCTATGGGTAGTGTTGAGTCTATGGTAGTGTTGAGTCTGTGGGCAGTGTTGAGTCTGTGGGCAGTGTTGAGTCTATGGGCAGTGTTGAGTCTATGGTTAGTGTTGAGTCTATGGGTAGTGTTGAGTCTATGGGTAGTGTTGAGTCTATGGGTAGTGTTGAGTCTATGGGTAGTGTTGAGTCTATGGGTAGTGTTGAGTCTATGGGTAGTGTTAAGTCTATGGGTAGTGTTGAGTCTATGGGTAGTGTTGAGTCTATTGGCAGTGTTGAGTCTATGGGCAGTGTTGAGTCTGTGGGCAGTGTTGAGTCTATGGGCAGTGTTGAGTCTATGGGTAGTGTTGAGTCTATGGGTAGTGTTGAGTCTATGGGCAGTGTTGAGTCTATGGGCAGTGTTGAGTCTATTGGCAGTGTTGAGTCTATGGGCAGTGTTGAGTCTGTGGGCAGTGTTGAGTCTATGTGCAGTGTTGAGTGTATGGGTAGTGTTGAGTCTATGGGTAGTGTTGAGTCTATGGGTAGTGTTAGTCTATGGATAGTGTTAGTCTATGGGTAGTTTTTGTCTATGGGCAGTGTTGAGTCTATGTGCAGTGTTGAGTCTATGGGTAGTGTTGAGTCTGTGGGTAGTGTTGAGTCTGTGGGCAGTGTTGAGTCTGTGGGCAGTGTTGAGTCTATGGGCAGTGTTGAGTCTATGGGCAGTGTTGAGTCTATGGGCAGTGTTGAGTCTATGGGTAGTGTTGAGTCTATGGGTAGTGTTGAGTCAATGGGTAGTGTTGAGTCTATGGGTAGTGTTGAGTCTATGGGTAGTGTTGAGTCTATGGGTAGTGTTAAGTCTATGGGTAGTGTTGAGTCTATGGGTAGTGTTGAGTCTATGGGCAGTGTTGAGTCTATGGGCAGTGTTGAGTCTATTGGCAGTGTTGAGTCTATGGGCAGTGTTGAGTATGTGGGCAGTGTTGAGTCTATGGGCAGTGTTGAGTCTATGGGTAGTGTTGAGTCTATGGGTAGTGTTGAGTCTATGGGCAGTGTTGAGTCTATGGGTAGTGTTGAGTCTATGGGCAGTGTTGAGTCTATGGGTAGTGTTAAGTCTATGGGTAGTGTTGAGTCTATTGGCAGTGTTGAGTCTATGGGCAGTGTTGAGTCTGTGGGCAGTGTTGAGTCTATGGGCAGTGTTGAGTCTATGGGTAGTGTTGAGTCTATGGGTAGTGTTGAGTCTGTGGGCAGTGCTGAGTCTGTGGGCAGTGTTGAGTCTATGGGCAGTGTTGAGTCTATGTTTAGTGTTGAGTCTATGGGTAGTGTTGAGTCTATGGGTAGTGTTGAGTCTATGGGTAGTGTTGAGTCTATGGGTAGTGTTGAGTCTATGGGTAGTGTTGAGTCTATGGGTAGTGTTAAGTCTATGGGTAGTGTTGAGTCTATGGGTAGTGTTGAGTCTATTGGCAGTGTTGAGTCTATGGGCAGTGTTGAGTCTGTGGGCAGTGTTGAGTCTATGGGCAGTGTTGAGTCTATGGGTAGTGTTGAGTCTATGGGTAGTGTTGAGTCTATGGGCAGTGTTGAGTCTATGGGCAGTGTTGAGTCTATTGGCAGTGTTGAGTCTATGGGCAGTGTTGAGTCTGTGGGCAGTGTTGAGTCTATGTGCAGTGTTGAGTCTATGGGTAGTGTTGAGTCTATGGGTAGTGTTGAGTCTATGGGTACTGTTAGTCTATGGATAGTGTTAGTCTATGGGTAGTTTTTGTCTATGGGCAGTGTTGAGTCTATGTGCAGTGTTGAGTCTATGGGTAGTGTTGAGTCTGTGGGTAGTGTTGAGTCTGTGGGCAGTGTTGAGTCTGTGGGCAGTGTTGAGTCTATGGGCAGTGTTGAGTCTATGGGCAGTGTTGAGTCTATGGGCAGTGTTGAGTCTATGGGGAGTGTTGAGTCTATGGGTAGTGTTGAGTCAATGGGTAGTGTTGAGTCTATGGGTAGTGTTGAGTCTATGGGTAGTGTTGAGTCTATGGGTAGTGTTAAGTCTATGGGTAGTGTTGAGTCTATGGGTAGTGTTGAGTCTATGGGCAGTGTTGAGTCTATGGGCAGTGTTGAGTCTATTGGCAGTGTTGAGTCTATGGGCAGTGTTGAGTATGTGGGCAGTGTTGAGTCTATGGGCAGTGTTGAGTCTATGGGTAGTGTTGAGTCTATGGGTAGTGTTGAGTCTATGGGCAGTGTTGAGTCTATGGGCAGTGTTGAGTCTATTGGCAGTGTTGAGTCTATGGGCAGTGTTGAGTCTGTGGGCAGTGTTGAGTCTATGGGTAGTGTTGAGTCTATGGGTAGTGTTGAGTCTATGGGCAGTGTTGAGTCTATGGGCAGTGTTGAGTCTATGGGCAGTGTTGAGTCTATGGGCAGTGTTGAGTCTATTGGCAGTGTTGAGTCTATGGGCAGTGTTGAGTCTGTGGGCAGTGTTGAGTCTATGGGCAGTGTTGAGTCTATGGGTAGTGTTGAGTCTATGGGTAGTGTTGAGTCTATGGGCAGTGTTGAGTCTATGGGCAGTGTTGAGTCTATTGGCAGTGTTGAGTCTATGGGCAGTGTTGAGTCTGTGGGCAGTGTTGAGTCTATGGGCAGTGTTGAGTCTATGGGTAGTGTTGAGTCTATGGGCAGTGTTGAGTCTATGGTAGTGTTGAGTCTATGGGTAGTGTTGAGTCTATGGGCAGTGTTGAGTCTATGGGTAGTGTTGAGTCTATGGGCAGTGTTGAGTCTATGGGTAGTGTTAAGTCTATGGGTAGTGTTGAGTCTATTGGCAGTGTTGAGTCTATGGGCAGTGTTGAGTCTGTGGGCAGTGTTGAGTCTATGGGCAGTGTTGAGTCTATGGGTAGTGTTGAGTCTATGGGTAGTGTTGAGTCTGTGGGCAGTGCTGAGTCTGTGGGCAGTGTTGAGTCTATGGGCAGTGTTGAGTCTATGTTTAGTGTTGAGTCTATGGGTAGTGTTGAGTCTATGGGTAGTGTTGAGTCTATGGGTAGTGTTGAGTCTATGGGTAGTGTTGAGTCTATGGGTAGTGTTGAGTCTATGGGTAGTGTTGAGTCTATGGGTAGTGTTGAGTCTATGGGTAGTGTTGAGTCTATTGGCAGTGTTGAGTCTATGGGCAGTGTTGAGTCTGTGGGCAGTGTTGAGTCTATGGGCAGTGTTGAGTCTATGGGTAGTGTTGAGTCTATGGGTAGTGTTGAGTCTATGGGCAGTGTTGAGTCTATGGGCAGTGTTGAGTCTATTGGCAGTGTTGAGTCTATGGGCAGTGTTGAGTCTGTGGGCAGTGTTGAGTCTATGTGCAGTGTTGAGTGTATGGGTAGTGTTGAGTCTATGGGTAGTGTTGAGTCTATGGGTACTGTTAGTCTATGGATAGTGTTAGTCTATGGGTAGTTTTTGTCTATGGGCAGTGTTGAGTCTATGTGCAGTGTTGAGTCTATGGGTAGTGTTGAGTCTGTGGGTAGTGTTGAGTCTGTGGGCAGTGTTGAGTCTGTGGGCAGTGTTGAGTCTATGGGCAGTGTTGAGTCTATGGGCAGTGTTGAGTCTATGGGCAGTGTTGAGTCTATGGGTAGTGTTGAGTCTATGGGTAGTGTTGAGTCAATGGGTAGTGTTGAGTCTATGGGTAGTGTTGAGTCTATGGGTAGTGTTGAGTCTATGGGTAGTGTTAAGTCTATGGGTAGTGTTGAGTCTATGGGTAGTGTTGAGTCTATGGGCAGTGTTGAGTCTATGGGCAGTGTTGAGTCTATTGGCAGTGTTGAGTCTATGGGCAGTGTTGAGTATGTGGGCAGTGTTGAGTCTATGGGCAGTGTTGAGTCTATGGGTAGTGTTGAGTCTATGGGTAGTGTTGAGTCTATGGGCAGTGTTGAGTCTATGGGCAGTGTTGAGTCTATTGGCAGTGTTGAGTCTATGGGCAGTGTTGAGTCTGTGGGCAGTGTTGAGTCTATGGGTAGTGTTGAGTCTATGGGTAGTGTTGAGTCTATGGGCAGTGTTGAGTCTATGGGTAGTGTTGAGTCTATGGGCAGTGTTGAGTCTATGGGCAGTGTTGAGTCTATTGGCAGTGTTGAGTCTATGGGCAGTGTTGAGTCTGTGGGCAGTGTTGAGTCTATGGGCAGTGTTGAGTCTATGGGTAGTGTTGAGTCTATGGGTAGTGTTGAGTCTGTGGGCAGTGCTGAGTCTGTGGGCAGTGTTGAGTCTATGGGCAGTGTTGAGTCTATGTTTAGTGTTGAGTCTATGGGTAGTGTTGAGTCTATGGGTAGTGTTGAGTCTATGGGTAGTGTTGAGTCTATGGGTAGTGTTAGTCTATGCATAGTGTTAGTCTATGGGTAGTTTTTGTCTATGGGCAGTGTTGAGTCTATGGGTAGTGTTGAGTCTGTGGGTAGTGTTGAGTCTGTGGGCAGTGTTGAGTCTGTGGGCAGTGTTGAGTCTATGGGCAGTGTTGAGTCTATGGGCAGTGTTGAGTCTATGGGCAGTGTTGAGTCTATGGGTAGTGTTGAGTCTATGGGTAGTGTTGAGTCTATGGGTAGTGTTGAGTCTATGGGTAGTGTTGAGTCTATGGGTAGTGTTAGTCTATGCATAGTGTTAGTCTATGGGTAGTTTTTGTCTATGGGCAGTGTTGAGTCTATGGGTAGTGTTGAGTCTGTGGGTAGTGTTGAGTCTGTGGGCAGTGTTGAGTCTGTGGGCAGTGTTGAGTCTATGGGCAGTGTTGAGTCTATGGGCAGTGTTGAGTCTATGGGCAGTGTTGAGTCTATGGGTAGTGTTGAGTCTATGGGTAGTGTTGAGTCTATGGGTAGTGTTGAGTCTATGGGTAGTGTTGAGTCTATGGGTAGTGTTGAGTCTATGGGTAGTGTTAAGTCTATGGGTAGTGTTGAGTCTGTGGGCAGTGCTGAGTCTGTGGGCAGTGTTGAGTCTATGGGCAGTGTTGAGTCTATGTTTAGTGTTGAGTCTGTGGGCAGTGTTGAGTCTATGGGCAGTGTTGAGTCTATGGGCAGTGTTGAGTCTATGGGCAGTGTTGAGTCTATGGGTAGTGTTGAGTCTATGGGTAGTGTTGAGTCTATGGGTAGTGTTGAGTCTATGGGTAGTGTTGAGTCTATGGGTAGTGTTGAGTCTATGGGTAGTGTTAAGTCTATGGGTAGTGTTGAGTCTATGGGCAGTGTTGAGTCTATGGGCAGTGTTGAGTCTATGGGCAGTGTTGAGTCTATTGGCAGTGTTGAGTCTATGGGCAGTGTTGAGTCTGTGGGCAGTGTTGAGTCTATGGGCAGTGTTGAGTCTATGGGTAGTGTTGAGTCTGTGGGCAGTGCTGAGTTTGTGGGCAGTGTTGAGTCTGTGGGCAGTGTTGAGTCTGTGGGCAGTGTTGAGTCTATGGGCAGTGTTGAGTCTATGGGTAGTGTTGAGTCTATGGGTAGTGTTGAGTCTGTGGGCAGTGCTGAGTTTGTGGGCAGTGTTGAGTCTGTGGGCAGTGTTGAGTCTATGTTTAGTGTTGAGTCTATGGGTAGTGTTGAGTCTATGGGTAGTGTTGAGTCTATGGGTAGTGTTGAGTCTATGGGTAGTGTTGAGTCTGTGGGTAGTGTTGAGTCTGTGGGTAGTGTTGAGTCTGTGGGCAGTGTTGAGTCTGTGGGCAGTGTTGAGTCTATGGGCAGTGTTGAGTCTATGGGCAGTGTTGAGTCTATGGGCAGTGTTGAGTCTATGGGTAGTGTTGAGTCTATGGGTAGTGTTGAGTCTATGGGTAGTGTTGAGTCTATGGGTAGTGTTGAGTCTATGGGTAGTGTTGAGTCTATGGGTAGTGTTGAGTCTATGGGCAGTGTTGAGTCTATGGGCAGTGTTGAGTCTATGGGCAGTGTTGAGTCTATGGGCAGTGTTGAGTCTATGGGCAGTGTTGAGTCTATGGGCAGTGTTGAGTCTATGGGTAGTGTTGAGTCTATGGGCAGTGTTGAGTCTATGGGCAGTGTTGAGTCTGTGGGCAGTGTTGAGTCTGTGGGCAGTGTTGAGTCTATGGGCAGTGTTGAGTCTATGGGCAGTGTTGAGTCTATGGGCAGTGTTGAGTCTATGGGTAGTGTTGAGTCTATGGGCAGTGTTGAGTCTATGGGTAGTGTTGAGTCTATGGGTAGTGTTGAGTCTATGGGCAGTGCTGAGTCTATGGGTAGTATTGAGTCTATGGGCAGTGTTGAGTCTATGGGCAGTGTTGAGTCTGTGGGCAGTGTTGAGTCTATGGGTAGTGTTGAGTCTATGGGTAGTGTTGAGTCTATGGGTAGTGTTGAGTCTCTGGGCAGTGTTGAGTCTATGGGCAGTGTTGAGTCTATGGGCAGTGTTGAGTCTATGGGCAGTGTTGAGTCTATGGGCAGTGTTGAGTCTGTGGGCAGTGTTGAGTCTATGGGTAGTGTTGAGTCTATGGGTAGTGTTGAGTCTATGGGTAGTGTTGAGTCTCTGGGCAGTGTTGAGTCTCTGGGCAGTGTTGAGTCTATGGGCAGTGTTGAGTCTATGGGCAGTGTTGAGTCTATGGGCAGTGTTGAGTCTATGGGTAGCAGCGTGGAGGTTGTAGTGGACGTGGCGCGCCGCTGACCCCGCCGCTGCCGCCCCCTCCCTTCCCCCTCTTGCAGACTCGGCGAGGAAGAGGAAGAGGGGCTCCTTGCCGGCCGCCATCCCGCCCGGCACGCTCCACGAGCAGCTGCAGGCGCTGCAGCTGGAGCAGCAGCAGCAGGGGCAGCAGCAGCAGCAGGGGCCAGCGAGCGACGACCCCAGCGCGACCCCGGCGACCGGCGGCGGCCGGGAGCCGCGGCGGCGGTGTCGCGACGGCGCGGGGGGACGGAACTCCGGCGGCGAAGAGGAGGAGGACGACGACGAACTTTACTTCTGACGACGACCAACTTTACTTGTGACGACGACCAACTTTACTTGTGACGACGACCAACTTTACTTGTGACGACGACCAACTTTACTTCTGACGACGAGGGGTGGGGTGGGGGGTGCGCGGGAAGCGGGCCGTAGGGAATGATAGAAATTAAATGTAAACGGTAAAGTTTAAAAAAAGACAAAAACACTCCCCGGAGCGGAGGGCGCTGGTCGAGACTCACCTCCGTGGGGTGCCAAACGACGAGAGGAGAGAAACGGGCGACGGTGGGGAGAGACGTAACGAGACGTTCATGGCGGGTCGTCGTCATCCTCCTCGTCGTCGTTGTGCAGCGGTAGGGAGACGTCCCTGGGTCCACGGACGCGTTTGTTACTCGCCCCCCGTGCCTTGTGGCGTGCGTCGTGCGATGCCTTCTCCCTCTCCCCCACCCACCCCGTGACGGCCACCCTCCCCCACCCCGTGGAGGAGATGGAATTGACCGCCTCGCGGCAGCGGCGGCTTTCAGAACGGACGCGGCGGCGGCAGCGGCTGTAGCGGCAGTGGAAGCGGCAGCAGCAGTAGGAACACTCCTCAGTAGTAGCAGCAGCAGTAGGAACACTCCTCAGTAGTAGCAGCAGCAGTAGGAACACTCCTCAGTAGTAGCAGCAGCAGTAAGAACACTCCTCAATAGTAGCAGCAGCAGTAGGAACACTCCTCAGTAGTAGCAGCAGCAGTAGGAACACTCCTCAGTAGTAGCAGCAGCAGTAGGAACACTCCTCAGTTGTAGCGGTAGCAGCAGTAGGAACACTCCTCAGCAGCAGCAGCAGCAGTAGGAGCACTCCTCAGTAGTAGCAGCAGCAGTAGGAACACTCCTCAGTAGCAGCAGCAGTAGGAACACTCCTCAGTAGCAGCAGCAGTAGGAGCACTCCTCAGTAACAGCAGCAGCAGTAGGAACACTCCTCAGTAGTAGCAGCAGCAGTAGGAACACTCCTCAGTAGTAGCAGCAGCAGTAGGAACACTCCTCAGTAGCAGCAGCAGCAGTAGGAGCACTCCTCAGTAACAGCAGCAGCAGTAGGAACACTCCTCAGTAGTAGCAGCAGCAGTAGGAACACTCCTCAGTAGTAGCAGCAGCAGTAGGAACACTCCTCAGTAGCAGCAGCAGCAGTAGGAGCACTCCTCAGTAGTAGCAGCAGCAGTAGGAACACTCCCCAGTAGTAGCAGCAGCAGTAGGAACACTCCTCAGTAGCAGCAGCAGCAGTAGGAGCACTCCTCAGTAACAGCAGCAGCAGTAAGAACACTCCTCAGTAGTAGCAGCAGCAGTAGGAACACTCCTCAGTAGTAGCAGCAGCAGTAGGAACACTCCTCAGTTGTAGCGGTAGCAGCAGTAGGAACACTCCTCAGCAGCAGCAGTAGGAACACTCCTCAGTAGTAGCAGCAGCAGTAGGAACACTCCTCAGTAGCAGCAGCAGTAGGAACACTCCTCAGCAGCAGCAGCAGTAGGAACACTCCTCAGCAGTAGCAGTAGGAACACTCCTCAGTAGCAGCAGCAGTAGGAACACTCCTCAGCAGCAGCAGCAGTAGGAACACTCCTCAGTAGTAGCAGCAGCAGTAGGAACACTCCTCAGTAGCAGCAGCAGCAGTAGGAACACTCCTCAGTAGTAGTAGCAGCAGTAGGAACAGTCCTCAGTAGTAGCAGCAGCAGTAGGAACAGTCCTCAGTAGTAGCAGCAGCAGTAGGAACACTCCTCAGTAGCAGCAGTAGGAACACTCCTCAGTAGTAGCAGCAGCATTAGTAGGAACACTCCTCAGTAGCAGCAGTAGGAACACTCCTCAGTAGTAGCAGTAGCAGCAGCAGTAGGAACACTCCTCAGCAGCAGCAGTAGGAACACTCCTCAGTAGTAGTAGCAGCAGCAGTAGGAACACTCCTCAGTAGTAGCAGCAGCGGTGGCAGCGGTGGCAGCGGTAGCAGTAGGAACACTCCTCAGTAGCAGTAGCAGCAGCAGTAGGAACACTCCTCAGCTGCAGCAGTAGGAACACTCCTCAGCTGCAGCAGCGGCAGCATTGGGAAGAGCCTCCCCACCCGCACCTCCGATGAGCACGGTCGGCTTCGTACGTGCAGGAAGTAGTCCCTCGGTTAACATCCACATCGGTTCACGGTTCGCTTCTAGTAGAGGAACCCCCCCCCCCCCCCCGTGGTTTCCGACTGAACGTTAACGTGTTGAATGTTAACGTGTTAACATGTTGACTCACGGTTCCGTGTTTACATTATGCACGTGGCGCGCCAATTTCGGCCAATCCGAGCGCTCGTTGGTGGGGCTGAGCCGTGCCCTCGACCAATCAGCGACGCCCATTGGTGAGCGATGAGACGTCGACTGGCTTTGTTTACATGGCGTCTTCTCTTTTGGCAGTGGGAAGAGCCTCTTGAATACTCGGTGAATCTTTTTTTTAAACTTAATTTTTCAACTTATAAGTGAATGAATAGCGATTACAATGGCGCCTGAAGTGAATCGCAAAGGGAAAACAGGAGTAGGAAAGTAAATAACCTTATTTATTATTAATATTGAGTGTTTAAATGTTACAAACTACGATTTTAGGGTCAAAAAGGTCAACTTCCAATCGTCTTGGAACGGTTCACAGTTATTTCGGTTGACGGTCGTATTGGTGGGACGGCTTAAAAACGTTGACCGAGGGACTCCTGTACTGACATCAGCACAGCTGCACAGAAACAGCATCATTAGCAGCAGCGGTAGTAGCAACAGCAGTAGCAGTCACTGGACAATCATTAGAAGCAGCAGAGTGAATATGATGATCATCAGCCAACAGTAGCAGCAGCAGCAGCACAATCGGTGCAGCAGCATCAGGAGAGCCCATCGCAACCTGCATCATCGTCGTAACCTGCATCATCGTCGCAACCGGCATCACCACCATCGCAATCAATGATGGATTCAATCAGCATCGGCACACCTCTCGCGTCCGTCGGCAAAGCGCCGGCCGATTGGCCGGCCTGGCTTGACCAACTTGCACCTTCCCGCTCGGGAAGGACTCCCATGCCAGCCTTCGGCCGGCCACACGAGGGAGAAGGAAGGAGGTGGCGATGACGGGGACGGGAGATGATTTTTCGCAGCCACGCGTGAGCGAGAGGGAGGAAGGAGGACCGCGCTCTCCGCAGCTCTGCGTGCGGTCGCTTCTTGTTCATTTTTGTTGTTGTTAACCTCGGAAGCCGTCGTCGGGGGCGGGAGTGCACGGCCGGCCGTCCTGGCGGCCACCTCGGCCGATGCCGCCCGGCGAATCTTCACCCCCCACGAACCCCTCGCTCCAGGGGGGTTGGTGGGGGGTTTGGAGGGTGAACCTTCATCCACGGGCGGCACGACGGCCCGAGGCTCCGTGTGCCGTACAGGCGGTCGAGGCTCTGGGTGCCGTACAGGCGGTCGAGGCTCTGTGTGCCGTACAGGCACCGGCAAAGTCAAACGGCCCGCAAGCAATATTCGTCCACTCGCTGCGAGCATCTTAGCTGCACTAATTGGGGTTCTTAAGAGGCGCGGGGGAAGGTTTTTGACGGTTGGAATTATCTTGAGAGCGCTGGCCCGGTCGTCTGTCAGCAGGAAGAGCTTCCCCAAGCGACGGTGTTGAGCGCGGCCGTGTGTATGAATCGGCGATGTGTAATTACTGTCGGACATATCACTGACTGGCCTTTGCTCGTAGTTCACTTGAACCTGACACCTTGACTTGAATCGTTGCACCGTTAGAAAGAGCCCTAGGGAGCAACACGAAGCGACAAAAGATGATCCCCCCCCCCCGTGTAGCCTTTTAACGGTGCCGTTTGGCGCAAGTAATGTTAGCGAGGAGTGTCGCCCACGAATGCCGTCACGGCCCACGAGGGGGGTGTGGGTGGCCAGCGCCACGCCCGGCCGCCTTTGTCTCCCCAAAGTGTTGATAGTTTGGGTGACAACCCCTTACTAATCGGCTGTGTCGGCTGGTGGTGGCGGGTTTAACGACACATTTTGATATTTACGCGATCTAACCCCAACAAAGAAAGTGTATATATTATGAACCCCATTCCCACTCTGTTGGTATATGAACTCGAGGTCCCCCCTCCTCTCCCGCTCTGCGTCTGTGCCGCTAACTACGACCTCTGTACGTCGACTCCCACCTCCGCTCACCGAGATTCCCTTCCTCGCTCAAAACTCACCGCTTACCGTGCCCGCGCTCACCCCCACGCGAACCCCCCTTAAGCCTCCCCCTCAAAACCACCGCCACCACCGCCGCTGTTCCCTCTTCATATTCTCGTGGCTATGAGAATCACTCATTCACCCCCCCCATCCCCCATTAATTCAATCCATTCGTCGTCATTTACTGTCATTAATGTCACACAACACCATCACAGATTCACCCCCCAATCGCTTCCTCTCATGTCAGAGTTTATACTGCAGCAGCACGAGGAATCTGATGAGCTATAAAGCTCCTTTTTTCACAGATATCCAGTTCGGGGCATGGGGTAAGAATTTCACAACAACAAACAATACACAAACACGATAGGAGTGCACAGTACAAGGATGTTTAACAAATCACCCAGACACAAACAAACACAACACAAAACCATCCCCATCCTACCAGGCAAAGCTCACTGAGGTATTCACTTATTTTTCAGAAGCGACCTGGCCACAAATGATAGCTCACCAAAGTGGCTTATCATCATTTGGGCATTTGTAACAGCAAAGTAATCTAAAGAGTCTAAACGCGTGTCTCTACTTGTATTCAACCTCATCTCCACCACTAACATACGCACACAACAACAACCGCCATTTGCCACTAAGTGGCGGTGACGTCACCGCGACGCTTGTGCCAGGCTATGTGCACCTTGAGGCCACGTAAAGTGTCGACCGCCCGCTGGCAGGAGGTCACGGGGCAGACCCAGGTGCCACGGATCGACTGACTGAGATGACTGGCTGATGCACCACCTGTGCCCCCTACTGTGCCAACTTGCTGTGCTTTAGCCATCCGGCACTCCGCTCCTTGTTGTCAGCTTTGCTCCTCCGCCCTCCCTTGTTGGAGGGTGACTGCCTCCAACTGCCCAGTAGCGTCCTTCACGAGCCTCCTCCACAGAGGCCAATCTTGACACCGCTGGTAACAGTCATCGGCAAGTCCACTCGGCTCCACATCCTTCTGTACAACATCACTCCATCTCTTCTCTAGCCCGTGCCGCGCCCATTTAGCCCCCTCGATCCGGCCGAACAAAAGCTGTGTAGGCATGCGGTAGCTGGGCATGCAGGCTACATGACCCAGCCAACGCAGCCTTGCCTGCCGGAGGAGCTCACCGATGGTACTTTGTCCAGATCTTTCAAGGATTTGTGAGCTCGTCACAATCCAGCCTGGTTAAACCCAGGATGGATCGTAGGCAGGCTAGCCTAAATGTTTCTAACCGGCGAAGATGTTCCATTAGGGGGGTCCACGTTTCGCAAGCGTAGAGAAGGGATGGAATGACCGTGGCCGAGAAGACCTGAAGCTTAGTGCGGAGTGACAGACCAGGTAGCTTCCACACAGCATTACGCAACCTCACGGCTCTCCGAACCTCCGAGCGAAGGCTGTGGTAAGCCACTTTAGGTTGGAATGGGGTCCTGGGTGTAC